TATCAAAAAATTGTTGCCTTTTCATACACTTCAGACAGTTTAAAACTTAAGTGACTTAAAGCTTTAATGTTTCCTTACACATACAGCTGAAATATCACCCACATTGTTAAACTGTGAAAGAACCTAATAAGAATAACAGTATTCACAGATTAAAGAACCATAAGCCTTTGACATAGATGCAGACCCTTCTTAATTGAAAGTCTGCTACCTGTCAGTGCCTTCTGTTCTAAATATTTTAGTTGCCGTTAGTCTGCAATTTTCTATTCACTATTTAGTTAATACTAACCCAAAGATACTAAAGATAAGTCTAGCCTCTGCTAGCAAAATACAAGCCATAAAAATCCACTTGAATTACAGATTCATTTTAATTCTGGGAAAAAAAAGCTTCTTATTCTTTTTTCCCTTCACAAAGTGAGCAACTTTCAGGTTAAAAAAAAAGTAACAGCACATCAAGCTTAAGAGGTTTTTTCATATATTTGTTTAAAACCTAAAGTCATTTCAGTGTGGGCAAGAGTTCCAAGACACCTATGTATCTGCGTTGGGACAAATTTGGCATTTCCAGACCTTTTCATATAAGGAAAATGGGAAGAAAAAAGAGACAGGAACAGTCTTGTTATATTCACCTTGTTATCTGCTACTAAGACTCAGCAGGAAACTAAACAAGAAACATCTCAACAAGATTTATTTAATTCTCACCAGGTTAGGATGTAGTATACTATCAACCCATTTAAGTCTCAGTTTTAGGTTTATTATGCTCTGTAAAAAGAATAATTGATTGAATTACAAAGTATATCTTAATGAAAGTAGAAAATAATTAATCTCTGGTACATACATTTGAAGATCATGCCTCAGTCAAAATTGACTAATGTACATAATATTCAATCAGACAAAGGATGTGCAGCAGCCCACCCCTCTCCCCTAGTCCTCTCTGTTCTCTTTTGCAAGAAGGAACAAGCAGCAGCAGGGAACTAACTGCTCGAGATTTTTTAAGCATACATTCTTGCTGGGTTGCAGCTAATACAGATCAGTTCTGACATCTGGTTTGTCACATACGCCACAAGTATGTTGTGCTGACAACTAAGAAAGGGTTCAGAAGAGAGGGAACAGAATGAGCAGGCAAGAGTGAGAAGCAGATCAGTAACCATTGCAGCTAAAAAAGTGTCAAAAAACAGCTTGAGGTTCCTTATGAAGCAACTTGAAATACGGAGAGAATTTTTCAAAAGCTACAACTATATATTCCAGAATAAATAGGCAGTTTCCAAAACATACTACTGAAATTCAGGAAGTCAGTTTTGTATGAAATACTTTATTCAGTAGCATGAGTTAACACTTGGGCCATCACCCCTCAGAGCCATTCTTAGGACTAATCTGTAGCCTTAAGCCTACTGATACATCTATTGCTATCTGTGGCATTGCTCCTTACACAGTTCATTAGACCGAGGCCTTTCCTTGAGCACTTACAGTCATTAGACTCCAAACAAAGGAGCTGCTCCTCCAGTCTACAGCCATGAAGAACAGCTCAGGAATTCTGACAAGTGATTTCTACATGACTCCTGTAACATCTCTGAGGAGTAAAGCAAGCACACATAGCTTTAATATTAGATGGCCTTATGATCTGTGATTCAGAGATTTCACACAAACAAATGCTCATTTGCCTCTAATTATAGCTCCAGAGGTAAGACACATCTTAACACCACCTTACTTTTACAGGCAGAGGCGATAGTCTTTGAGCAGTAAGTCCCCAAAAGCTGTGTTAGAATAATTCCAATCTGTGTAACACTCAAAATACTCAGTTTCGTTTTCTCTGGGGTGGTGGGAACCTGCATTACTACTAGTAATAGTTTTAGTGGCAACTATTCCCAATGTTATTTACTCTGTCATTACTGCCCAGAATATTATCAAGGCCAACACAATGATAATAGACATTTTCACCCCATAAAATAGTCTCATTCATTTTCCTTCCTGCTGATAAGAAAAAGGTGAGGAGAATTCAGCATCTTCAATACTTTTGCTCTTTTCTCTATGTATATGCACATGCATATAAAAATACATAATTCATACCAACATTGTCAATAAAATTATGTTTGTTATCTGTATAGAACTACCAGTCAAGAACAGCCAAGTGGAGCATAAACAGGGTAAACCAAGAGTGAAATCCCGATCAAGACCTGATGTAAGGTATTTAAATCATGGTTGAACAACACATGTTTTTTCACTACACTGAAAAAAATTCACTGTAGACAGCTAAAGTCCTAACAAAATCTACAATGCCAAAGTGATTCATGGATTTCCTGCAGGTGACTCATTAGTGCTTTCACTCTGGAGAAGAAAAACACCAGAAACATCTTGTAAACATAGGCAGACATCCTTCAAACCAGGGCCAACCTCAGGCTTTGCTTATAGCAAATATTTACCAAGGTTCTTTTGCCTTTTTTAATTCAAGCTGTTCTCTCCATGATTCAAAGAGGTCAGAAATACAGCTCTCAAGATTAGCAAATTTCTGAACATGCCATTACAGTTGAGACAGGAGAGTATTATAAAGCTTAGCATCAGATTCAGACCTATCATATAAAGCAACACTTTGCAAGGTTTGCCAGGATTATCTATTTCAATCCATGAATGTATAAATGTTAATTCAGAGCAGCCTCTGTGGGACAGAATAAAACCAAGGCCTCCAAAAACCAGTAAAAACACATAGTTGGATTACAGCCTTGTGATAGGCTATTAAACATGTCAATGAACATAAGTTATGACATTGGGGTTTTTAATATGGCAATGACTCATCACACAGTAATCTATTTACTCATTTCCGGTCAGTGGCCTTGATTAGAAATGGTCAAATGTAATAAAATCGTTAACTTGAGGATATCCAGCTTTGTCTTAATACAAGCAAGAGCTATTGACCCAAGAAATACTTCTTGTGAGAGAAATGGTTCTTTCTTGAGCTTACTTTCAACATACTAAGGTATTTCATCTCACAGTCCTCAAGCCCACTTTCAATAAGATGATCCACAGACAGGGTTGGAAAAACACACTGAAATGGGAAAGCGTGACTAACAATCAAGAGTTTTGAGCAGACTAAGAGACTTCAGTATCATATTACCTTTCATTAATCTGTAGGTGTCACACAATAGAGATCATACGTATACTGGCTGAAAATTTAAAGGTAGGCTAAGGACAAAATCCTGCTGAACAGCATGCAGACAGACTGCTGGGAACTGGCAAAGCCTTCATGAATTTAATGGACTTCAAGAAAAAAAAAAATCACAGCAGTGGCTGCATGAAAACAAGTAAACAATGCTTTTCAAGCTAAAGCTTTCAAGAAACAATATCCTAGAACAACTACAGTTCACTAGTTCATGCTTTTATTACTCTGGGTCAAGTTAGAGCTTTTATGGCTGGGCAGATCACTATAACTATAGCAAATCAAAAGCTATGGGGGGGGGGGGGGGGAAGTGTTCTGTGAAAACATGCCTTTCATTGACTAGCACTGTTGTTTGCTAGCTTACCATCAAGTATTTTATAAGGTGATTTATAAATCAAAGTATTACCGGGCTTGTAATCATAAGTGAAGTTGTTGGATAAGAATAAGTCACATTCACTTGAGATAGACTGTAATTTTATCTGAGATGCAAACAAATTGCACTGACAAGACAAAAGCATCAGCATGACTCAAGTATCAAAACACAACACAAGAAAGACCAGTATGAAAAACAGCTCTTTGTATAAACACAGATAACAATGGTATTTGATGTTTATGTATAAAGTTATTCCAGCCTTTTAAAAAAAGCTCATGAGGTGTGCTGTACTCAGACAGCCAAACTGGTGATATGCATGCTTAACTGCCTTTTTTGGTGCAAAATGGATCCCAATTTTAGAAAACTAAGTAGCATCTGTACAACCTGCCATACGTTTGGTGAAATATCCAGCTATTCAGAGTATTTTTGACTTGTAAAGGACCATAGTTTACCTGCTTATATCTAAGTTACATCTATTAGTCAAAGCAAGCTAATTTCTAAGGTTGGTATTGCATTTTACAGACACCTTTACTGACTAACCTCCCAGATAGGATATTATAATTACTGTTGCAAAATTTATGTTAATGCAACAATCTACAATTTTTGTTCCCACTACCTTCTCTGCAGCTTGATATTAATACGGGTAGCCTCCCTCTGCAATTGTCACTTATGCTGCCAATAGTCGCTCAGAAAATTTGAGTCTAATTTCCAAGCGGAGACACCTGTTCAATTTCTCCTAAAAAGAGGACACACCACAGAATATGTTTGTTCAAAGACGCAATCACCATTGATCAGAAAGGCCGGCAAGCATCTCTCGCAGAGGGCTGACACCAACACAAGATGGCCCTTCCTTTATTTAACGATGCTCCAGCGAGAGTGACCAGGTGCCTTTCCACATTATGAACTATTGAGGGAGGAGTTGGCAGGGGCGGCCCGACTTTATTTTGCAGAGAAACAGACGCACCGTGCGAGAAAACCCCCCTTCCCCGCGACCGGGCGCCCTCGGCGCCTTTGGGGGCCGGCCCTCGGCGGGCAGCTCCGCCGCCGCCCTGCCCCTCAGCGACCCTCTCCCCGGCCATTGTCAGCCGCCGCCCCCCCTCCTCCCCGTCCCCAACGAGGGCACCCCGGGTGTGGGGGTGAGGGGTCCCGGCCCGCACTTCCCCACACAGGAAGCGGGCGGGGAGGCGCGCCGCGGCGGGGGCTCACCGGCTCTCAGCTGCAGGCTGCCGTCCCGCCGGCTGCACCAGAGCGCCCGCTCCCCGCTCTGCAGGATGTAGTGGTCCTTGGCTTGGAACAGCTCCATCCTCTCGCCTCGCCGCCGCCGGGAGGGAGCGCGGGCGAGCGGGGCGCTCCCGCCGGGCGGATGAGAGGAGGACCGGGGCGGGTAGGGGTGCGCGCTCCCGAGCCGCGGGGACGCGCCCGCCGGAGCGGGGCACGGAGCTCCGGGTTCCGCCCGCCCGCACGTGACCGCGCTCCGTCAGCCCCTTAAAGGCGCAGCGCAGCGCGGAGGCCGGGGTGGGGATTTGCCGAGCGCCGTTCCCGCCCCGCCGGCCCCCTCGGTTCGCGGGTCTCCTCCGGGGGAGCGGGCGTCTGAGGCCCTCGGTGAGGGGAGCGGGACGCTTTGTCCTCCCGCGGCAAGAATCACCGGTGGGCGGCTGGGGCTGAGGGAGGGGCGCGCGCCTTTCCCCTCAGCGCTGGCGCCGCCCGGCCTCGGCGCTCTGCCGCCGGCGGTGAGGGCGGCCCGGCCTGGCTCCCGGGAGGCCCCGGCTCTCCCCGGCTCCCTGTCGCCGAATTCTTTGGTGCCCGGAGGAGTGCCGGGCCCCCGCAGGGCCTGGAAGCCGCCAGCAGCAGCAGCACCAGCCGCAAAGCCGCGGGGGGTTCTAGCCGGCCGCCACAGGCGAAGTGGCAACAACCGCCAAGCCTGTATCCCCCTCACCCCTTTCAAGCTTTTTCAGCTTTTCCCAAGTGGGAGCAACTTTAAAAATTGGTGGAAACGGTCAGGAGCTGATATAGTATATCAGCTAGTGGTGAAAGGAAATCTCAACACTGTAGCACAGGGCTCATTATGACTTTAAATATTTATACAAACAGGAGCACCTCCTGATACACGGGTAATTATACCCTCTCTCTTCTCTCCAGGCAACGCTGGAAAATGTACCAACAAGCTCATCACTGCTACAGACCCTTCACAGCTTTGCCAGCCACTTCTCCACAGGTTTCCAGAACTTCTGTTTGTTTGCAAGCGTTGAAGTCCCACTCCCTATAAAACTGAAGTAGAAATGGACATAGACAAAAAGCATCCCATCGTGCATACAGCCACTTGGGAGCAGCTTGGTTTGTTGAAAGAACATCTTCAGTGTATCTTGGAAAATTAATGGTGCATGTAAGTAAGTAGCTTATAGTACTGGAAAACCAATTTTCTCATATTTTTCAATCTGTGCTTCTTAAAAGAATGATCAAATTTTTTTAAAATGTTTCTAGACAGGTTTTATATTATTTTGAGTGCAGTTTAAGATTTTTCTTTCAAATATAAGGTCTGACCTCTGATGTTGTTGCTTTTTTAAGTACACTTCAATAATACAGGAATGATATGAATGGACCTGAACAGTATTTGATTTGATAATAGATGCTAGTATCTCTTAACATTTTCCCCAGACAGGTATGCAAAAGGATGCACTATTCTTTCCTGGCTGCACATCCCAATTTTGAAAATGCTGTGCTTTGTGAATGCCCTAGAGCTTCCAGTGTAGCACTGTCCTGCCTGATTCTTGTATGTAGCAGTCAGTGCCATTGGCAGAATGCAAGTAATTCAAATCACTCCTGCAGGTACTGGGCAAAAGAAGGGTTTAAATGACTTCTCAGCATTTGAATAAATATCTCTTTTTAATTGCTTTCTTCTCTATTTTCCCATAGGCACAATGCCACATATTTTCAAAGGCATATCCAACATACACAAAAAGACAGTACAGGGATGGATTGGTCCATGGCTTGTTTCCTAGCAGAAAGCATAGTGCTGTTTTCTCACTTGTAAATTAAATGCATTTGTAGTGCTATAAAATGGAGCCTAGCCCAAGGAGAGGGGGCATTGTGAAATTTCGGGTAGGATGAATGGACAGCAGAGCTGTGATTGCAATAGGACATATTTTGCATCTCTAACTGAAAGCTCCTGGTGTGCAAAGAAAGCTGTGTCTGTCAGTTTTAGCTCCCTAAAGGGAAGGGCGAGGAGCAGCAAGAGCCTCAGGTTTTTCAAATGCTCAGCTCAGTAAAATCGTTGCTGCAGCTTCTCCTGGCGAGAAGTTGCTCTGAGCCTGCAAAGAAGCTGGCAACTGACAGCTAAGAGAGATTCTTGAGTTTTGTTCTTCTCTCTCTCTTCCCTGCCTTGGGCTGTGAGCAGGGCAGAGGGACAGTGGTGTAGATAGATGAGTCACAGGCAGCAGGTGTCTTAGTGGCAGTAGCTGTAGCATTCCCCTTTTCAGAGAGAAATGTGTGAAGCCTTAAGGAATTAAGAAATTTGAGAATTATTTGAAGCCAAGAGTTGCTAAGACAGGAGGTAAGACAGATTTTTGAGAAGTTAACTCTTAGTAGGTAGTCTCTTTTGCATGTTAGTTGTACACACCTGCCTGCCTGAAATACTTTGTCATTGTTTTCTTGACAGTGCAAATAAACACCTTCTTCAGTGGTACCATTCCTTCATTTCATTGTGTAAATATAAGCATTTGACTTTTACTTACATGTTGAATTAATTATCTGAGAAACCCATAAAGACTTTTAACTAAGATGATTAATATTGTCTTGTAAAAACAAATGATAGTCAATATGAAAATGACAGAAAAAAAGATGTCCTGCCCCCTGCTATGGATTCCACCAAGTCACAGTGGCTCCTGAAACAGTTGACTTGGCATTTGTCACACAATGAGAGTGTGGGAATCTGTAGCTGGGGCATGGGAACTGGCAGCTGAGGGCAGAGGTTCCAGAATGAGTCTGTTCTGTCAGTGGCAGATCCATTTGGGAAATTTCCCTCCCCTGCCAGGGGTTTTTGCATCCCTTTGTCAGGCCAAATCAAGAGTGGACGCACTCTAGCTGGGGGCACTGAAGCCTCAGCTGACAGAGGGGGATGGACTACTGGGGAGGTTAACCTCTTCAACTCCCAAATAAAAAGATTTACCAATTATGATTAAACTACCTACCATTGAACAGCACTACTTTCAAACCTTTCTTTGAAAAGACTGGTTTCTCTCTCATACAACATTTTGCCATTAGTGTATTACTCATATATATTAGTTATGCTACAGAACATGACAGAAGGACATTAAGAAATGAGAAATCTCCTTAGCAATTAACATTCGAGACCCAGGCAAGAGCTTTATTTTGGAAGGTACCGAGCATCCAGTCTAGAAAAGAATGTAAGTGAATGCATGACTTTAGATGTGTAAATTAAATATACTTGATCGGACATTAACATCTTCTAAAATGAACATGCACCTCAGAACTTTTCTGGTTTAAGTCTAGGAACTGAACATCTCAGTGGGTCAAAAGATAGCTCTTTACTTTTGCTCCCGTCTCTTTCCTCAGTTTCTGGGCAGTCTGCACTATAATTTGCTAGATATTTATCACTGCCACTTGCAATATCACTTCTATTCTGCATGCATTTCCCAAGTAGTTCAGTGTTGTAGTACAATGCACAGGTTTCCCATTAAAATAATTCAGAGATCCTTGCAGGGATTTCAAGGACAGACTTTGTTTTGTCCTTGTTCACCCTTTGGGCATGCGTTTTTTTTCCCCTTGTGTAGTTTTCCATTTACATTCACTGTTTTTTTTTCAGTAGATTCACTGCTGGGCAGTGTTTTTATGAGCCTGTCAGCTTTAATAAGAATAGGGAAAAAAAATGGAAAAGGAATTTTGCATTTTTGCAATTCATTGTCAATAGCTAATGGTAAGGAAATGCATAGGCTGACAGTCAGGCACTCTCACTCTCGATATTACCTGATTACCCACAGCTTGCTTTCAAGTTTCATTGTTGATTAATGGGAAGTCATACAATTTAGCAACAGTCCATACTTGGAAGTACAATTGACTGGGTAGATTGGGCAAATACACAACTCTTCCTGGGATGAATGATACCAGTTTTGGAAATGACACTACAAGACAGTGTGAGTATCTATATTTCAAAATGTCTGTGAATAAGAAGTCATGGAACATTTTTTTCTTTGTCTGGCTTTCATGCTCCTGGTAGCTTCCAGATGAACATCAGAAAAATCTTCTTTGGCTGTGGATACACCTATAACATATTTGAAGCATTCCTGTTTGCTTGCCTAATATTGTTCTAGTCAACTCATTCCTCTTTTGCTATTAGAGATATCAGTCTGTAGGGGCAGTTGGTGGAAATTTTATAGTATGAACATTTGATGCTTTGCTTTCAACTGACAGGTTGAGCCATCACTTATTTAGCTACTCGACAAGTGGAAATAATTTTTGCTACCTTATTATTTATTTCAGGTATAGTCAGTCTAGTTGTTTATAGGATTGTCAAGTGCTTTGATAAAGAAGATAAAAAACAGTCTTGGAGTGACATCAGCCAGCTCTCTGAGCACTTCTGGATGCATCCCGTCAGGTCCCATGGACTTTTTGTATGTCACTTTATTTAAGCAGTCCCTAATTCAGTTCCCTAATTCCTCTACCAGTGGTAGGACCTAGGTACCCCAAGTTTGCTAGAAGACACAGAGGCGTGGGAGGCCTGAAAGCAGATCCTCCAGTAAAATCCGAGGCAAAAAAGCTTCGGCTTCTGCATCCTTCATCTCAGGGTTGCCCACTTCACTCAGCAGTGGGCTTACATTTTCTTTGGTAATCTTTTTCATGCCAAAGTAACTATAGAAGTTTTTCTTACTACCCTTCATAGTCCTTTCCAATTTTTAACCTAGCTGAGCTTTGTCCTTCCTATTTTCACCCCTGTGAGCCCAGGCAATGCGTCTGTATTCCTCCTTGCTACTCCCTACCCACTTATGCTTTCCATATGCTCCCTTTTGGCATTTGAGCTTAGTTAGGTTTTCCTCATTCAGTCAGGCTGGGTTCTTGTTATGCCTTTTGGTTTCCTTGCAAGCTGTTTTTTTGCAGACAAGACAAATTGGTTTGCCTGTTTCTGTAAATCGTATGGTTCTAATGTGTTCCTACTAATACAAGAATATGAATAATAAATCCATGATGCTATACCCTTACTGTCTTAAATCACATCCATGGATCAGGGCTTCTACAGTATTTCCATCGGATTCTTTAATTTACCTAATCCTTCATCACATATTTACCAACCTGATAGCTCCCCAACTGTGTGACATGATTAATAAACTATGATGCAAGAAAGGCACTTGAGTTACTTTCCCCTTCTGAAAAATTTTTTTGAAAAGGCTTTTGTGTGCTTTTTAGAGAAGTTATATTATGCCTTAAGCATACACTCTGGGAAGCCTGCTTTGAGAGGTAACCTTCTCAGAACTAAAGTAACACAATAGGCTCTTCCAATTGGCAATAGAACAGATAAAAAGAGATTTGTTTGTGACAGCCAACAGTTGCCACCAGAACACTTCTGAAGTACCTGTAAATGTACTTGCAATATTAAATAATCTGAAAAAATACTTGTATGTTGTGTTTAATAACAGAAAAATACAAAACCACTGTCATGAATATTAGCTTTTGGCAAGAAAATAAAAACTTTTTCAAAACAGGGAAAGTAGTTCATCATAAAAATTTTTGCCTGAATTTATTTTTAGCTTTGTTTCCACTGAAATAACTTTTTCATATGGCAGCTGTAGCTGTTATCTCTAAAGGAAAAGGGACTCTGGTATTTCCTCCTTCACCATGAAAACCTCTTACATGCCAATGGGAATTGGACTTCCCTGAGTTTCACTGAGCACATAGGAAAACAATAACATTTTCTCTTCAAAGCAGTGTGTATGCAGTTAACATCTGCAATATGCTATGTGGCTTATGGGTAATGTATTGATTTCCCTCTGTTGCACTTGCTGTTAAGATCAAATCAATAATACCGCTTGCAAAAATAAATGAGAATGTTTTGACTGCCTAAGATTCTTTTATTCTACAATTACAGATTTCACTTTGCAGACTACCAAGCTAGTGCAATCACACATTAAAAGATTCCTTACTGTGTTGTTGGTCTGCCTTCATCAGTTAAAATACTATTTATAGTATACCAAGACCAAATTTAATTCAAGGTAAATGACAGGCTGCTCTTCATGGACATTGCAATAAAATTCACAGCTGATTTAAAACAGATTCTACTTGCTTTTCATCATCTGATCACCTATGCTGCTTTTCCAGTGGTTTTGTAAGTTTGCAGAGTAGACCAGTTCAGACACAGAAATCCCTTCACAAAGTAATTATATTTTTTGTTCCACAGCCCCATTTCAGGCTTTTTGTTGATTAAGAGCTGATTAAGCATTAATCCCATCTTCCAGAAAGCATCAAGGCAATAGACAAAACAGACTCATTTTTCCCAAGTGTGGGCTTTTGCACATTTGCCTTACAAGAGACTTGCCTTTCTAGACCTACGTTTGATCAAATAAGGTTTCAGTGTAGGTGTTTCTAAAACAGGCTTCCTCACAACTATACGTGTCTTTATTAGGACAGCATGAGGTCACAATTTGGGCTTCTATGGAAATATTTCAGACAGCTTTGTCTTCTTAGTGGTTCTAACTACAAAACATATTTAACTCTGTGTTTTGGGAGTGGAGCAAAGTAAATTCATTAAAAAATGGGATGGAAATCCATTAGCAACTCATTGAAGATACATTCAGCAAAATAAGATTTAAAAAGAGGCTGAGAAAGTTAATGGTTTTATTACCCTTTGGAAGAGCTTACCTCCCTTTCTTTAATTTAGGTCGCCTTTTTAAGAGCAAAATAGTTCACATTTCAAAATAACCCCAAGACTTTCTTTTAGAAGAGTTGAAAAGTAAGATTTTAGGATCACTGGAATTTAATATGCCTTTTAGGAAAAAAAAATAAGTCTGTTTTTTTCTGATACCATTTAGCCAATTTGTATCAATTTTGTAAGTAGATTTCTTGGAAGTTGCTTTTTTTTTCCCTGATTTTTTCTATTTTAATATTATCCAAAAAAAAATAAAATCCAGTTATCTTTGTAATGTTATTAGGGCTCAGTGAATCTAGCTTTTTCCTCAAGATTTATCATACTTTCTGTCTCTATTTATGAATATGACTACTCAGTTTCTTAGTATTGTGGCAATTTGATACTAAAATAGCAAAATATATGTATTCCATTCTTCACATAACTAATTTTATGTGCTGTGAATACTGTTCAGGCTGGGCATCAAGTAACGTCCAAAGAACAGCAGTAGTTGTCAAGTACTGAAGTGTTATGCATTTCTTTTTGTCATTTTTCACCCTGGTTTTGACTGTCCCATGAAAATGTATTAGTTATTCAGTGCAAAAATCTCTGTCAGTTAAATGTGATAGGAATAAATGCAGGAAAAGTCTAACATTCCCTGGGGTTTTTTTAAATTACTTTCCTCTTGTTCCCCTTTCTCATGGCAGTTATTACTTTATACAATATTTACTAATAATTATGCATTGTTTACATTAGAGCTCCCGGGCATGACAGTAGTTAGGGATAAGGAACCCCACTGTGCTAGGTATTGTGCAAAGCCAGAGCATAATGTCTATTCAGATTCCAGAGGTTTAGAACCATTACAAAAGACAAGGAGCAATAACAGAAACAGTTGTTTAAGGGATGAAACATATGATAATGAGACGTTATTGATCAGCTGGAAGCCAGTGGTCTCAGCACCCAAGGATTTAAGCATTACCAAGTCGTGATGGAAAACATACTTCAGTACTCTATTATTAAATTTTTAATACGAAATATTTGTATCACTCTAGTTGACTTAATTTTCTGTATTGTGACTAACATACTTCTAAAATAACATATGTACTTGTATAATTGCAGCAAAAGCCTATGTAATATATTAATTTGGGATCAAATTCTCCTTTCCTTACCGCAGAAAATGTTCCAGAGAGAACTTTTCAGAGTAAGGTTTGGCATGCTGTGACATTCAGCAACAATACTGCTAAAGCCAGCTTAAATGATCGTTTCCTCCTTCCCAGCTGTGTGTTTCTATTCCTGTACCCTGCCTGCACTGTATAGCCACAAGCATTTGTGCAGCATATTGTGAACTGAATTCAGGAAACTAATGCAGATGCAGAATAACCTACTAAAATACTGTTTATGAAACTGGACTCCAAAAAACAGTAACCAGAGTGACAGTAAACTTACCTGGCCCTTACTGAACAGAAAGAGCCTTATCTTTTAGGGTCAAGGTTTACCTTAGTGTCACTCACTTGGCAATTCACTCTGAGTTGCCAAGCAATGCAGAATCAGATCATGTCTATATTACAAATGTGCTAATGCCAACCATGCCTACATTAGCAAGCAGCACAGTACAATAGGAAAGGATTTGGAGAACAAAACAACTGGTGCTGAGGATCCAGCTTCTACACTATGCACATTCCAGGAGCTTTAAAGATTAGATCTAGTTTTGTCCTACCAGACCCCTTAGCAACTGGAGCACATCTTCTGGTTTTGTTTCAACTGTAAGGAATCCAATTCATGTGCTCATCCGTAGTTAGAGCAGCAGAGCCCTGTGGTGAGGCACAGAGGGTGCCATCCAGAGGAGCTTTTCCAGAGGCTGTTAAATCATCCTCCCAAATGACATGAGTTGGAGCAGTAGCAGTGGTCTTCTTGCTGTATCTCAACCAGGTTCACCAGCACAGATATGCTGGCTGAAGAGTTGATTTTTAACACTGCTAGCGAAGTTGTTCTAGCAGACATGTAGAGCCGTAATAAAACCTTAGTGACATACATACCCACTGCTCTCTAACAGAACTCATGTTTACAGAACCACAACCTCTATGTAAAACTGCATTTATACTGCAGATAAACGCATCAGTATTTAAGAGAAGAGTAGGCATGTATGAATTTCTAACAGTGACACTGAATCCTTTTGTCCTAAGAACAGAATCCCTAGCTGCTAGGCTATAATTTAGGTCAAAAAATGCTATCAGCTTTTCCTTCATCTGTGGCGTGTGGATAAAAAAGTCCTGTATAGAATTTGCAATCCTCAAGCTCTTGATGCTCAGTTAAATACTGTACTGGTAATTAGAATTCTCATGACTCTCAAAGGGCTAAACCAGAAGATTAAAAGAACTTTATTTTCCTGTGAGATTATATGTTCTATACTTGAATAACTAGGATAGATGAGCATTGCTATGTACAGGCTAAAAGTGTTTATTGCTGGCTTTGCATTTCTTATGCAATGATATGTAGGTCATTGTAAAACCTAGGGAAAGAAGATAGGCATGAGGCTGAAAAAGAGGACTAAAAATCAGAAAATCTGAATCCTTGTCCTATCTGCCTGGCTTTGAATAAATAACTTATGCTCTCTATACCTCCCTTTTACATATACGACTAAAGGTAGTATTTCCCTACTGTGCAGAGGTATTACAGCCTGACTACTGATATGTGTAAAATGTTTTAAACTGCTATGGTGAAAGAGCTTACACTCATATTTATATTCAGATAAATGAAAGCGAGCTCTATACTTTATGGAAATAGTAAGAAAAAAATATATATAAGACTATACCTCAGGCAAATAGGGAAGTTCTGTATTGTTGTTGGAGTCAGTCAGGTTTTGCATTTGTGAAGAGGAATGGCAGTAAGAAGGCAAGGTGGAATCAGAGCCACGTGTAACACTTGCAATTATGAACACTTTGTTGACATTTTAATTATCTTACAACATTCTTTTTTTTGGTTTGGTTTGGTTTGTTTGTTTGTTTGTTTTGGGGTTGGTTTTTTTTTTTTTTTTTTGGAACAATATATATACTACATATCTCTAATAGCTTTATACCCTAGATCTATGACTATGTGTGATAAATCAGAGAGCTCTAACACTATGACTGATATATAGCTACACAGATGACTCAGCTTTACCAGAAGATGTTTCTGAGAAAAGGTCAAAGCCATTCCTGAACAAAATTTTTAAATGTCCTAGAAACTACTTATAACTAGTCAATTACCTCTTTGGGAGAAGAAGCACATAAAGAATCACAAGGCACCATTTCATTTATTAAGGCATCATAAGCCTGCTATATACACCATTATACCATATAGAATGTAGGAGGGAATAGATCTATCTATGAGTAATTATTGAAGGGAAAAATTACAAGCATGTGTTGTTGTTGCAGGATTCTACACTATGTCATCGAGATGATAGGACCAGGTGGAGACATGATAACCTTGGAGAAGTAAGTACTGATCCTGGAAAACTAACAGAGGATGATCAAGGCCCCAGAAAGCAGGAAAAGTATTTGGGCTTCTGATTTACTATTGTTTTCCAGTGTTTGTAAAGTCAGTGGGAGGTTATAGCTTTATATATATTGATGAATCTGTGCCACTATCCTGAGCCTTAAAAAAGGGAAAGAAGAAAGACTTATGGAATTTTAGATCAATCAGACCCTTTTCTTAAATGAAAAAAGAATAGAAAAAAATAATCAAAGCATGTACTTTCACGTACCTGCAAGACAACAAAGTGTTAAGAATCAGTTAACATAATAGATTTAAGATTGAATCAATACCTTTTCTTCTTACGATACTCTAGCAGTCCTGGGCGATAGTGTATATCTGCATTTAATATGAACTTTGATCCTGTCTCTTGAGATTTTCCAATAACTATCAGAAGGACTATGGCCCAGTTAGGACACCTCCACAGTCCCAAATAGTTGGGAGGTTTCTCTTGTAGAGTGGCTACTAATGGTTAACTCATGAGTTTAGTACTGTCCTGTATCTTTACTGCTGGGCCAAATAATGGAATAACAAGTGTACTTATTAAATTATCAAGCTAGGAGGGCCTGAAGGCCCACTGGGTATCAGGATTCCATTATGAGATTATTGTGGCAAGTTAAATAAATTATCTGAAATTAATGAAATGACTGGCAAGAGAAAAATTTCCAAGAGGAATGATCATCTGTATAAATACAAGGTCAAGAACAGATGGTTAATCAAGAGTTCTGGGATAATCCTAGAACATAAATTGATCAACCAACCAGTAACAAAATAGTAAAATAAAATCCAGTTATACTAAAAGGAGTGCACAGGAGCATTATACGTAAGACCTATACAGTAATTCTTTTACTCTGCTATGAGTAAGGCCTCAGTGGGAATACTATATTCGGTTTAATACAACTTTTTCAAGAATTATCAATTGAAAATGAGCCAGAGGAAATCAAAGATGTTCTGAATTTTAGAAGCTGTAATCTATGATTTGAACGATTAGTATTCTTTAGACTACTTTCTCAGGGGGAACAGGAAAACAGTCTTGAAATATATAAAAATTGCTGGAAAGGGTACAAGAGTAGCTGGTTTCTTTGTTCACTGTCACTGAATCATAGAATGGTCGAAGTTGAAAGGTACCTCTGGTCCAATCCCTCTGCTCACAGCAGGGTCAGCTAAAGCAGGTTGCCCAGGATCATGTCCGGTGGGATTTTGAGTATCTCCAAAGATGGTGACTCCACAGCTTCTGTGGGCAACCTGTGCTGGTTTTTGACCATTCTTACAATGAAAAAGTTTTTTCTTAGCTTTAAGTTTGTGCCCACTTCCTCTTGTCCTGTCGCTGGATGACACTGAGAAGGGTCTGGCCCCATCTTCTCTTCTTCCTCTTCAGACGTTTATACACATTGGTAAGATCCCACCTGAGCCTCTTCTTTGTGAGGCTAAACAATCCCAGGTCTTAGCCCAGATAAAACAAGAAGTAGTGAGCATAACTGCAGGAAGAATGAGCTAGACAGAAACAAAGAATTTGGATGAATAAGCATGGGAATAGACTGCTCACTGAAGTTAGCTGGGCAATATCCACCACTAGTGTTTTTTAAGAACAGGTTGGGCAAGACAGGAATGAGGTAATGCCATCTCTTCCTATTCACAACATATGGTGATTTGTTTTTTTTTTTTTTTTAATTTGAGTCTCTTTGCCCATCTCCACATTTCCTTAGTCTTCTTTCATCCATCCCATTCTTTCTTCTCTTGTGCATATATCTATTAGGTAGAAGCAGAAACTCCTGTCAAGACATAGCAATGCCACAGAACTGCAAATACTTGCTAGCTAACCAGAAATTGCAACATTCATCCTATCTAACCTTTACTTGCCGCTCTACTTCCAGTTGGATTCTGAGTCTTCAGAATGATGGCCTCAGTGTCGTGTTCTATGCTCAGGTCTTGTGAGGTTATTTAATTTAAACCTGCCTTATTATAAATAATGTGCAAATTGAACTTAAGCATTCAGATCCACCTGAGAAACATCAGGATTTTCAAATTTCAGGTCAATGGATTCTAGCACTTCCTTAAGGCTGTAGATACTTTGTCAGAAAGCTTGGGCCATAGCCTCCCAATTTATTGTTTTAATTAAGAAAAAATGCCTAATTCACAAGAGTTTTGTTTCTGTGCTGTTTACTGGTGCATTCTTTCTAAGCACATGCTGTCCAAACATACTTTAAAATTTGGGGGTGATTTTTTTCAATGTTTTCCAAAAAAGCGATGGATAAGCAGTGTAAAGAAAACGGTATACACAGAGAAAGGAAAAAAGAGAAAAAAGATCAGCATTCCATTTTTCCGCCCTCAGCCATGCTTACTCCTTTACAGAAGCTGTAGCTCTGAATGTGCCAAAAAAATCCCCAAACCCCCAAAAAGAGAAAAAAAAACCATGAGCAAGTCCCCTAATAAATTTCCCTGCTTAACTAACAGGGTTTGAAACAAGGTTTCTGAGACCAACTAGTGCATTATGCATGCAACTGTTCTGTTTGGCTGATTTGATTTGCCTCAGCCTCAATGTTAATTATAGTGAAAAAGATAAATACAGACTCTCTATTTAATTTTGATAACAGTCTTATAAATAGATGCTACTACCCTACTTTTAATCAAACACAGCATCCATAGGCAAATGCAATTTAAGGCTAACAAAACCAACTGTGGTCACAGATTTGATTCTCAGCTGGAGTATGTAATTTTAAGTAACCATGTATCCTTCAGTTTTGTTCAGTGTATTTGGATTCATCTTATGGCAGATAAAATTAAAAATTGGGTCCTGCCACAGAAGTTTAATGCCTATGAAGAAAAGATTGAGGAAGGACTTCGAAACAGCACCGCCGAGTTATACTACTGATACTGCAAATAATTTACTGTGCCACTTATAACCTCAAATAATAGCCATATGACCTATCCCCATGGAGTATTTTATGACCATAAAGCACTTTGGAATCATATAATTAAAATACTAAATAAGTACATGTATGATGTGCAGAGTTCCCCTAGATGGAAATTAGGTGAAAAATAAGCCCCAACCATTGTGATAATAGGATGAATTTATGTGGGCAGTACTCTTATGCAAAGACCAATTTTTGCTCTATGCTTTACATGTCCTCCTGTTACAGTCCAATTTGTTCAAGAGAAGGCTGCATCAGCTGTCATATCAAAAAGATTGGAGCAACCCTTAGAGTCAGATGGTTGTGACTTCTTGGCAGCTTTTGTTACTGACATAAGTCACTTTAAAATAGGATATGTATTCACTCCATCTCAGGGAAAAAGTGGCTTTAGGTGAATTCTGGCCTGGCCTGGCTTTGAGAAATAGCACCCTTGACAAAAAAAAAAAATATTGAATAATTGGTTGTGATGTTGTTGTCTTGCTCTTTTATAATGAGTCTTTCAGAAAACAAAGTGTAGATATACCAATGTTGGTTGGAATGGACCTCTGAATATCATTAGTCCAATCTTCCACTTGAAGCAGCACTTCATCAAAAAGCAGAGCTGAAATTTTCTATTTTGCTGGTCCTCAGAAGCCTCACAGTACAGCTCCCCTGTGCCTTATAAGGAAAAACCACTTTGATACAAAGTACTGGAACTATTTAACTTCTGCTCGTATTTTGTAGTTTTGAGATTTAAAGGCTATCAGCCATGTCTTGCTAGCTGACGCTCACAACAACACCTGTACTGAGCTGAAAAATGCTTGTGTGCCATAAGACTGATATAACCACTACCTGCTCTGGCACAGAAGTGCCGGCCTCAGTGACTGTCCCTGTTTCTTGTGCTGGTCTCGGGTGGGATTTTTTCATATCCATACATTCATATAGAATTGCCAAGTTAGAACAAGAACCTATATTTCATAGTGCCATAGCAGACATGAACAAAATAAAGGAAATGAAGGAGTTTTGTTTCTTTCATAGAACTTTTTTCTAAATTGACAGCAGGTACTGTAAAAAACCCAAAGCAGTCAAATCTGGAACTGCTGGTGGATTTCTGCAGCGTGAGCTGTCGTGGCCCAAATCGGTTGTGTCACCTTCTCTCCGCTCATCAGTCCACTCCCAACTCTCTGTGCTTAATTAACAGCATACTTTAAAGCGGCTGCTTTAGCAGGGGAGGCCGAGCCCCTGCCTTGCCCCCCCGCCCCTGGTTTCGGAGGAAGGGAGCCGGGCGGGAGCAGCCGCCCCAGTCGCGGGGCTCCGTTGCCCTCTGCTGGTCGCTGGGCTCCCTTCTCGTCCCGGGTTTGACGTCACGTTGCTGTTGACGTCATACTTGGAGCTGAGGAGGGGTATAACGGCGCCAGTCGGCCGGAATGAACGATTGGGCCGTATTTGCCACTTGCAGTCATGCAACTGCATCAGGTGGCCCTGAGAAAGATAATTTGGTCACGGTATAAAATTTCAGGGTATATGCTGGTTTTGATAATAATGCCGTAGGGGCCCATTTTCTTTATGTAATTGTTGGCTGTGTGATTAATGTTAAATTACCATTTACTGGCATTGTTAGTTTCTTCCACCGATTGAATTTTGCCTTTATCAGTGCACCACGTTGCAAATGAAGTTAGTTGAAAACATGTTTCTTGGCTCCAACCGAGTAACTTCAGTTTTTTCGATTTTACATTTGAAAGATTCTCAGAGCTTGGTTTTGCCAGGATATGCCTTCCGCACACAGCCTGCTTGAATCACACATGAAATGCCCATATGAACTAATACAAAAATCGGTCTTTTCTTCCTCCACCATTTACATAAATGTACTCAGAAGCTGTTCCAACTTCTGGCAACAAAGGAAGCTTCAGCTGTGCAATCCCTGAGACAGAAAATCCACCAGAGAAAACAGGGAAAATCGTAAGCACAAAAAGCTCCCTGACTTTCCTGTCCCTGTGTGAGTGTTGCAGGAAAGGATGCATCAGGAGTGGATTGCACTGAGTCAACTACTGGAGACTCATGCAGAGTTCCCA